CTTAAAGGATGAGGACAGTGCAATTTCTCTTCAGACTCTGTAAGTAGTGTTTAGATGTTCACCATGAAGGCGTCTACATGGGGGGTGGGTGTCTGAGCTCCCACTGGTGTCAGTGGAGTCTAAGCTGTTCCCCAGATCGCTGCAAGGTAGCCATCCACATGTGTTCAACTGATTTGTGCCATTGGCTGCCTTGTGCTGATCGCCCCAGGCGTGCAGTCCAGCTGCCATAAAGATGCCCCAAGGGACCTCCTTAGCCTCCAACTGCTGATCCAGGAAGCAAAGGGCTCATGTGGTTCCTGTGCCAAATCTGACAACTCAGATGGCTTGAGGAACCTTTGTGTGACTTAGCCCTCAGTGCTTTTATGCCTATTGTGCATGTGACAAAGTGGAGGCATAGAAAGCTGGAGAAATTTGTCTAACACCTGTACTAAACACCTACAGCCTCCCTTCCTCACTGGACCAAAATGGAGAATAAGTGACCTTCAAGAGTTGTGGTTGCAGGTGCCAAGGAAAAAGTGTATTTGCCATAGCATATTCATTTCTTACAAACCCCTTCAATACTATCAAGTATTTGTCCCTAAGCAAAACAAATGCAGTTTTTTGAAAAGAACAACAGTGAAAATACTAGAGAAAAAACGAGTGAAGAATTACATCTTTTTTACATATATCTTAAATATGGCAAAATTTTATGATGTCTTTTAGGGAACTGTTTGTAAACAGCAGGTCCTGATGGCTGGCTTGAATCACTGCCCAAAAAATGTAATTTCTGTGGGATTGTTCCTTTTTTGTAGTGAGAGCTGGATGAACAGTTTCAGTCTGTTCTTTTGTTCCTTTTTGTAGGTTTCAGTCACCTGAAAGCCTAAGGGAAATAAAGGTAGACTTGGGGTCAAGGCACCAGGGTCTCGTGTTCGGTTCCTGGCACTGTTCCTGCATTATGTGTACACACAGTTCGTTTTCCTTGTGCAAGTTTCCCCACCTTTCATGTGGGGTTTTAACACTGGCATAATTCTCAGGATGCCCTGCCTCTGAACTGTCTGTGCCTTGTGTTCACACAGCACCTGGAAGACACCGTGCACCACTGCAAGTATTACCAATATTAATTACCATCATGTAATATTGGAGCTAAATGTGTTTGGGCAGGTGGCTTTCATTTACATATTGTTTTATCAGCCAGTGCAAGCTTCTGTGATGGGAAATTTGACCTTAAAGAAAGGCAAAATAAATCTAGCTAGAGGGCTATAGGTTTTATTCAAAGATATCTTAAAAAATACAAGCCTTTTTATTTTGGCATTTGTGTTTAACTCATTATTTCCACCCCTTGTCACTGCTGATAATACACTAGAGCAAAGAACAAATGGTGTTAGGCTTGGTACCAACTAACCAGTCTAAATTAATACTTGACATACATGCCAGCAAATAAAGCAGCTTAACTTTCAGCTTCTTTTATGACAATTTTGTATTTAGCAGACTAAGTTACTGATAAGAAAGCACTGACCAGATGTGTAGTGATGTGACCTGTGTTTGCATGTGTAAAAATGATGTTGCAGATGACCAATATCTGTGCTCCCAGCTCACCGTGGCTATTCTTGGCAGATACTTCTTTCTTCCTAGCTTGCCTCTGGAAGAACAGTAGAAAAAAGTCAGTGATGATATTCAGTTTTGATGTCTCCTCCTGACCAGCTCTTCACTATTGGTGTGTCTGCAATCTATCTTGCCAAAGAAAGAAAATTCTGAAAATCAGAGTTTGGCATTGTTTTCTTCAGTCCATGTCTCATCTCTTATGATTGAAAGGTAGTAGAAACTCAAATTTTTCCAGGAGAAAGGGTGGACAAGAAATAAACAAGAGCCGATATTAACTTTTCAAATTTCACACCCGTGAAACCAAAGCAGGAAAGAAAAAGGAGTTTCACCTGTGATTAACATTGAGACAGATTCTCAAAAGGAAATAAATTAGGCAGTATAGCTCAATAGACTTTCAGTCCTCTTAACTGGTTCAGATTATTACTCATGTTACCTTACACCTCTAATTTTAAGGTTCATAAGTACAGTGAGCTTGGCAAAACAATAAACGTAATTGTCCTACCTAAAAAGCAAATAAAATATAAAGATAAGGTTATCTGTTTTTCCACTCTTAATGTTTGTGCTCTGTCCATATATGTAGATAGAAAATTAGAAAAAGTACCTGTGAAGAAAGGAAGCTTGGAAATATTTGTTACATTTTCCAGAGTCTCCCATGGGCTTTTAAATAGTAGTTTCTAATCTTACATGACAATAAAATGTGAGTTTTCAGGGTCTAATGGCTGCAGGAAAAACCTTGAAAGTATCAATTCTCAAAATCAACATACCAGCAAGAAAATAAGAATCACTTTACAATAATTTTCATCTGTTACTTAAAAGTCCAGTTTTTCATCCATAGCATTTTGATGATTTCCCCTGCAGACACCACTGGTCTTCTTTTTTCTCTGACTACCTCTCTTGTAAAAATGGAGTAAACTACCCTTCTTCTCCTGAAGATGGTCAAGGTTACTTCTTCTCTATCAGTCTCTCCAGCCTGAAACCCTGGCCTACTTTTCTGGATCTCATATAACCTCCCTTAATTGCTCTAAACACATCTAAACTAACTTCTGTCTTTTAAGTTGGCCTACTTTCTTGGCTCACACGCACAGCGGTAAATCAGTCCATCTAGAACTCCTGCCAGGGCGTTTGTTCTTTTCCAACTATTACATCTTCTCCTCTCTGGCTTTGATGGGTACACACCTGCTCCCCTCACTTGAGTTTCAAGCTGTGTTGTGAGGTGAATTATCCCTTGCTTCTGCACTCCTTCCCTGATGTCCACCCCGAGTGTGACACACAAACTGGTTTTAGATCCTTCATAGCATCCTTCCCAGTCCTGCTCGCTGGTGTCATCATGTAGCTAGCATGTTGTTTCCCCGGGTGCTGTACAGATGGCAGCGACCGCCCTGACTACTCAGTTGCAGACGTTCCCAGTCAGAGCTATTTCCCCTGGAAGAGGGACCATGGCAATGGCTTCTTTCCGTGCACTTTCAACTGGTATTTCTGGAGGTTCTGGGCTCTCTCTGCTCTACCTGCTATCGTGTCCTGATTGCTGGTGCTTCCCTCGCTGCTGCGTCCTTGATGGAAAGTTCTCTGAGGAAGAGATTCTCCCTTTACTACACTTTCTTACTTGCCTGAGATATTAGTTGGACAGTAGCAGCTGCAGCAAGAACAACAGGATCTAACAGTTAATCACACCATGTAATAAATATGAAAGTATTGCCAGTTGCTCACAATGTACTATTGACCTTGACGACTCCCTCCCTTTTTCTGCAATATTCTCTTTGACCATTGTTGCTTTTACTACTAAAATATTTTCTCAGTATCACTGTGTCCTGGTCTTATTATTGTCTTATTTTTCTCATTGGTTAGCAAGTTCTGTTCAAGTGTATCTTCTGTTTTCTTTCTACCGTCAAAGATACAGGGCTATTCATTATTATTCCTTCCAGAACAGTCTTAACTCCCTCAGTTCCTATTTCCTCTATGGATTTTGAATAATATTTCCTCACCTTCCTGTGCCAGTTCACCTTAAATCTGAATACTATTTAAATTCCTGAGTAAATATCACTGTACCAGCATGAAATAAAAGAGAGATCTTAAACTAACTTACCTTTATATGACCCAAGTTAAAGAGTTTAAGAATGCCCACACACAGTGGATTTAAATTCGTGCCCTAAACCAGTAGATTTTTTTTTATGGACACGGGCTGAGATCCCATAGACATGGAATAAGTTACTTGTAATGAAATATTGCTGTAGTTATTGCTATTTAAAACATAGGCAACGTGCTTCTTTAACTAGAACTCTTGTCCACAGGTATGAAATACCCATAAAAACAAATAAATAGTGCAACTTTATATATTAGAACATATTTTATACAGGCATCCTGCAGCATTGCTACTTGGCTAATGGCCAGCAAAACCATTAACAGCAACTAATGGCACAGAAGGAAATTTTCTTCCAGTCCTGTTTTCTAATTGCTAGGAAAGAAAGATAAAAATAGACTTTACAAGTTTGGAGGCCAGACTGCAAATGCTGGGAGAGCTCTATTAACTTCTAGATGGTCTATGGCTTTACAGTCTCTGAAGATCTGGCTCATTGATTCCATCAGAGGAAAGATTAGGAATGAACTCAAAGTGGGGGATTTGACTCCAGCTATAACCTTATTTTATTTGTGTTTTAGAAAGACTTAATTATTTCCTCCTAGTTCTAATAGAAAGTCATTAGAAATTGAATGCTTTGCTCCCTACTTATGACATGTAATTATATAAATGCTCCAGGAATTTTATAATATTTAATAAAGAAGTTGGGAGCCAATTTTAAGCATGCTTTTCAAACATACCATGACCAAATTGCATGGACTCCTCTTTTTCCTGTTGTATGTCTAATCCCTTTCCATGCCATTTCAGACATCCCATTAATCTTCCTCATCTCACAGTTTCTATCTGACCAGTTCCCCCAAACAACATGTTGATTAAATCTTCTTAAAGAGGAAATGCTGAATTTGCAGTTCACAGTAATTTCTCTATTTAATCTCCCTCCTGAGCCTCCCTTTGAAGATGAGACAGTATCCCTTCCTCATCTTCCTCTCAGATTTCCACTTTCCCTTCACCGCTGACCTCAAGTGTTGGTGCAGTTCACATCACCCACCAGCCAGTTTTGAAGATCCCACCCCCTCCGTGGATGTCCCACACCTCCATCATCCTACTGCATGCACCTATGTTAGCTCTGTGCCCTAAGGACTATGTCACACAGGTACTGATTTTGCCCTCAATTAAATTTAAATTTCATGTGGCAACTGGGTGACACACAGTGCAATTCAAGACCTGATTTTGTATGATAACTTTTTTTCTTAAAATAATGTTTTCATTGAGATTTATGATATGTAAATATAACTTGCTGTAGGATTGAGATCTGACACAATGCTGCTTTTGTTTAAAAACTATGTGGAGCACTTCCTCTTTTTGTGGAGCTGGGTTTATTTGTTGATTTTCAGGTACAGAGCTGTATTTCATTGCTTATTCAGTGTTGGTACAAAAGCCAAATCCTACCTTCTTTCAATAATGTGCAACTGCTTTCATTAAAGGAAGTTGTACAATTTCTCTGGCAGAAAGAGGAAATACAAATAGAACTTACATTCCATAAAGCTTTTTACAATTTCGGTATAGATGATTCATTGTGACTTGCTAAACATAAAACCTGCTAACATGAGAAAAGGGGAAAAAGGCCTTTTATTTTTTTCTTCTGGTGGAGCTTTTCAAATTTGCTAGTTTAGATGTCACCTGTCCTGAATCAGAAATCCATTGTATGAAATGTGAAGTCATAACTTCACTTAAAAGTTTTTTCTGGACCGGGACATACAAGCATTTAACAGTAATATATAAAAGAGAAATATAATAGTGGCACTGCTACCTCTTAATTCCTGCTTCTCTGAGTCTTACCACAGCGTTTACAGACCTTGAGTTGGGCAGCTAAGCAAGCTCTCAATGGGGGAGAGAAAGGGAGAGCTGAAGAAAGCATGACTGAACTTGGCACATTTCTCAGGTGTAGATTTGCATTTAGTGCAGCTATAAAGGAGGGCTTATGGACTTTTGGACTCGGATCATCCCTTTGAATAAAATCAGCTCACCTTTAGGTTCAAGACACAAATGACTGTCACTGCTGCTTCCATTTTGCAGAAAAGAAGTCCATCAGAGGAACTAGGTGTCTGGGATTTCAAACTTTATCCCAAAGGACTCAAGACCGTAGCTTCTTGCTTCTCCTACCACTAGGGAGACACCCTGTTGAGACTGGAGCATGGGCACTCAGAGCCAGTTGGAAGGTAGCTCAGTAGGAAGGCTGACAGGTCCCAGGCCCCTGCCATGTCCCCTGGTTCTTTCTGTGGGTTTGTTTTTTTTTTAGCAAATGCTTCTCCATACGACATATAGGCAGATACCCTACAAAAACCTGGGAGCAAAACACAGGGCCCCTCTTTGATGCTAGCCAGCTGGCTACAAAGTTAGGCTGCCTTTACATTTTGGCCCAGTTTTCTTGCTCCCTATGTGCAGTGCTGGTCCAGCTTCAGCGTGAAGAGTGGTCCGCTGATTTGGACACCCTCTGGCAATGTGGGAATAGGGAATGGGGGTTAGAAGCTCTAATGAAGCCTCACACTTGCTGAACCACCAGAGTATTGTGTACATTCTTGCCATCCCACATTTGCAAATAAAAGGCACCCAGCCTGCAGAGTCCTCTCTGGATTTGTACGTACCAGGATGCCTCCTTTATTCATCCCAAACAATTGTAGGTGGGTGACAGGTGCCTACATGTTGAAATTGGTTGAAGTAGCAGGAGTTATGGACCGTCATAGCAACTGACTTTAGGCATTTTTGCAGAGCCAAAACCTGAAATGCGAACAGATTACCAAGTGCTGAAAGTGTCCACTAAAATATCCTTTTGACTTAAGTACCCATTTAGGCATCTTCAGTGAAATTTAGGTGCCAAAAAAATGGAGTTTTTTAATATTTTTAACCATTTCCTAGAATATTGCAGATACTCTGAGGTGGAAAGCACTAAACTAATTGAAATTACCAATCTGGGCAGTCATGTGTCAAGCATGTCCTTCAGTGTTTCCTTCTTCTACGTGTAGGTCATAGCACAGAACAGAGGAAGGGATTATCAGCTTCCAGCCAGAGCATTACACGTGCTCAACTATTGTCATTTAAATCCATGTCCAAACTTCTACAAAGATCACGTTCCCCTCTTTCCTGCAGTGTTCTGTTGGAAAGAAAGCTTGATAAAAACATGTAAGTGTTTGAGGCTTCTCCGAGCCACTAAGTACCTTGATACAGCACTTGAAAGTGATACGAGAGCGAGTGCACAGGTCCCAAAAGGAAAATTGTGGTTTGATTCATATAAGAGCTTTGTTATTTTCTCTGGAGCAGTGCACAGAGGGCCCTAGAGATGCAAACATTGCTCTTCTTTGCTCCTCATATGGCTAATGGCCTGGCTGGTGCCATCCTTTCTGTCTCTTCTTCTGACTCATACCCTTCTCCTTCTCCCACAGCGAATCGAGACTTTGGCATTAGAGCTTTATTGTCTGCTCTGGTGAAATGATGCTGGCTCGTTGAATTTCTTCTTCGACCTGAAGGATTGGGTGGGCCTGCTCGTCTATCCAAGCGCGCCATTGGAATCAGCTCTTCCTGGCGGTACTTTGCTTCAAGTGGTCGTAGTCGGGGCTGGGGTCTGAACATTGCTGGATACGCAGTATCAGAACCACTTCTGGGGTGATCTGAAGGAAAAGAGACAAATAACTCATATCTTGAAGAAGAAAAAAGAGAGACACTGTGGTATTGTCAAGGACAGTTAAAAGGTATTCAATACAATATAACATTACGATTTTAAACCCTGGAGCCGAAGCATTTAAAATAATTACTATAGAATAGGAGCGCAGTCAAGAGCTAAAAATAACCTTAAATTTTTATTTTCATCCCAAAGCTGATGTTTAAAAGATTTTATTGATCTTACCTCTACCCTGAAATCCCAGCAAATAAGCACATTGAGCTATCTTTTAGTGCCTCGCAGAGCTGCTAAATACCTTCACAGGGCAAGAATGTTACTTTATGTAGCTTTCCATTTTCTGTGAATTTCACAAGTATACCTAGGATCATGGTTGACAAGCATTGTGAAACCCACAGCAGAAGACATAAAAGTGATGAAGGAGAAGACTCTAGTGCCACCAAAAATCAAGTTTACTGATCACCTGTGATTAACAACTGGGAAGAAAACAGTTTCACCTGAAACCAGGAGTTTGACTCCAGGGCACCTTGATTACATTGGGTGTGTCAGACCTGCTCCTACCAGCTTTCTTTGCCACAAGTACACAATAAAAATTTGCCTGCAATAGGCCAAAAACTGACTTTCTCATTCTCCTGAGTTTATAAAATATGCTTTTTTACTTTTCTTAAAGCCACTTGTCGTCTGACTATGCACTAGCAAATTGGTTAATTAATTGGCTCATAACAACCTAGGAAGTTTTGGGAGATAAATACAAAGGCATAGGAATAATAAAATTAGACTATTTCCTGCTTCAGTTAAAGCAAACAAGTATTGGATATAGTCACGCAGTGAAAATTTATCAAGTAATTGCAGTTTAATAATTACTGACTTATTTTAAGCTAATGTTTACTTCACAGTTGGCACAAAGTAAGAATGTGTGCACCAGCACTTGCCTCTGCCAAACAGGGGCACAGATTTCTTTAACAGCAGAACTCGCTTCTTATAAGCCATGTGGGCATACCACACTATAAGCAATAAAATAGGATGGGTTTTCTCAGATTTGAAGGGCTTCTACTTGGCCCTTTGGGAGCATCACTGCTACAAAGTTTGAATGATATGTATTGTCAAAGAAATAATTCATTTGTATGAATGGCAGAAAGAGCTGATAGGTGGTTTAAGCATCTATTTGTGGTCGCTTCTGGCCTCTTAGTTACTAAGCTTTCTGCACATGCTATATACAAAAGCTAAACCAAGCTTGTTGGAGGATGCTTGTTCCAGAGTGGGTTTCCAGACATAGGCAGAACATTTATCTCTGTTAATGCATATGTGCGTATATGAGGTTGTCATTCTAATTTCCTACATACTGAGTATTTATCTTCACAGTTCCCAAGAGCAGTTCCTCTCATCCTAACACAGTTTATGAGAGGAGTTTAGGGTTTCTTCCTGCTGTCAGAGACATTTAAAGTGGTATGAATTCTACACAATGAACTTAAGATGGAGCCAGAAGCTGGACCAAGATGACTAATTATTTTGATAGATCACAAGGCAGGCCTAGTTATTAGTGAAAAAGTACTTGCTTTCAGTGCTTCAGGATTTGCCACTCTCCCCACTGAAATAATATGCCTGATTGCATAGCAGAACTTGGTCCCTTAAAAATGTCTGAAATACTTTTAGATTTGAGGCTGCTGTGTAGGACAATTTGAATATTTTAGAATATCCCCTACCACAACACCCTGACAAACAGAATAGAAAAGAAGTCAGCTGTATTAAAAAAAAAAAATAATCCCCTCAAGTAACTTTGATTTTCCCCTTTCAATAGATCCTATGGGTTTCTGTTCTGCTGCTATCACACGTGAGTGCACAGCCCCAGGGGGATGGTTTGCCTACATAGATCTCTTTTGCTGTCATCTCTTTCAGAGTAAAACAGAAAGGGAAGAAAGAAAATAATTTTGCACCTGCAGGAAACAAACTTTGTCATCCAAGTTTTTGATACAAAAACAAATATTACAAAAACAAAGATTAAAAATATGGTTTCAAGTTTCAATCACTACAGCTATTTTTGCCAGAATGAAAACGAATTTTTCTAAAGAACGCAAATGCATTTCAGGTTCACATAAATGAACTCAGAAAGGAGTCAGGAAGATTACAGATGGAGACAACAATGAACATTCAAGTGTCCTAAACCTCATATTTTCTCTGACACTGTCCACTGTGTTTCTGTGGACAATTCAGTGTTGCTCCATCCCTAACCTCTGTCTCCATTCTTAGAGTGTAAGTGAAGATGGGTCTGCATTTTACCATGTACATATGATAACTTGAGACTGGCTGATAACTTTACGCAGTAATACCAGTATTATTACAGAAATGTTCATGGAGAGCATGCTGGGAAAAGGGAAGAGGTGAACGTCTGCTTGGGGACAGATTCTATCAGTATTTTTTGTTAGGTTACGTGATTAGGTGCTCATCTCCACAAACACAGAGGAGCCCCAAGGCACAAGGGCAGACAAGGAGGCCCCCAGTGTCCTGGTCAGAGGAATAAGTCTGAGCCTCTACCCTGATCCATCACAGGGGTGATCAGCTTCATGGACAGGGTGAGACCCACCACAATGAGCTAAAGGAGAGGCTGTCCCTGAGGCACCTCTAGAGTGAGGGTGCACATGGCAGTGCAAAACTGCTAGCAATCACCAAGCCAGAGTAGCCATTGAGTAGGATAAGAGGCTTGGGAACCATCAGTCTGTTACAGAGACTGGGGAGAGCAGCCAGACCAGTGACTGAAGAGATCATGGGGTCTGTGGTTGGCTACTGTTGAGGCCATAATCTGGACCCGGTACCAGAGAGACATGTTTGCAAGAGTGTGTCCCTCTGTGTGAAGCAAGGGGAGACCAGGGGATCCTGCTACAAGAAAGACTTGCTGTCCAAGGCCAGCTGCTGGAGTGGTCCACAGTGCGTGGGGTGGAGGAGCATCTGCCTCTGTGTGTGTGTGTGCACATGTGTGTAGGTTTGAGTATCGGCAGCTGCCATGGGACTGTGTCCCCAGGGACTCAGATGCGCAAGTGCCACCAAATGGGAAGACCAAGCATCCAGGGCCAGCTACTGGGCAGAGTGTGTATCCGAGGCCAGCTACTGGGGGATTCAGATAGCAGGTACATATATATAATCTTCCACTAATGGCCTTTCATCCTGATTAACCAGAGAGGGGACCAGGATGAGGCTGTTGGTGCCATTTGTGCTTGTGTGAGCACTGTCCCCTGTCTGTGCTGCTCTGGGGAAGAAAGGGGGTGCCTGTTGGGAATACCTGCCCAGCCTTGCTACCTGCGGGACCTGGGGGGCACGGAGCTGTGGCAGCCTCAGGTTCAGCAGCTCCTAACAATTTCACGTGGAATTGTGTCTGTAAGGTTGCAGGGAATGGATAGTTTGCTCTCTCAGGCTTACAGGGATGCCCTTGCGGCCAGGCCAAACTGCAGGGGTCACAGGATTATTTGTGCAAGAGGGAAAAAGAGAAAACTAGGCGGTGCTGGAACGAGACAGAAACTACTGCAGTAATGACCATATAAACAACATAGATAATAAAGATAGGAGAGGAGGGTGTAGCACATTTAAAGAGGCCAGGGCCTTCCATGGGAGTATTCATTTAGTACTGTCAAGTCCACTGAGCAACGGCAAGTTTCTTTCACAGCTGGAGCAGGATATGGAGTAAAGCACTTCCATTACCTGTAAAAGTAACACGCCTGGCTTTTCGTCTAGTGGGCTGGCTGGGGCCCTGGGGCAAGGAGAGGTAGCGCACCTCTGTGGTATTAGCCTGTGTATGAGACAGAAAGGGAGGAATGGTTATATACCTTTTCTGTTGTGCCTCTGCACCTTTACACCCAATTTTAGAGAGGTGTGAGTAAGATCAATGCTTAGCTTGTGTGGTTGAACTCGGTGTGAAAATGTCTGTGTCTGATATAATAGCCCTAACGGCTTTTTTACAGTCAGCAGAGAGAAATATGTTCTTCACCTTTCCTATTTCAGGTGGCAACTTTAAACAAAATTAATACACCCAGCAAAGACTTATTTCTCTTCCTTAACTGTGATTATCTCAGCTGTAAACGTCTATGTTATCCAATGCCTGCATTTGGTCATACAAATATTACTGATTGAGAGCCCAAACTGTCAGTGCAAGCTGTCAAGGGCTTTGCATTAGGCCTTTTGTGATTATACTATGGTTTGCAGATGCCGAAACAATTCAAGTTACATTATTTTACTACTTGTAGCCATAATAGCTGATTTCTGGCCAATGTATACAGGTAGAACATAAATATGTTGCTGTCCACATGCTAAGCAATGCTCTTTCTTCTTAGGTGCTGCATGAAGACATTGGGGAATATACCATTTAATTTTTTGCAAAAAAGCATATTCAAAAGCGTGCCTCTCCTTATTTACCGAGAAGCAGAGGTGTTTTTTGCATGAATAGTACTTTACATAACAGGTACCGGTCTACCCCAAGGCAAGCTGTTTCCCTTCCTGCAGCTCTGTCTCAGGCTGTGCTGGCGGCGGATGAGGATTTCTTGGGCTTCTCTCTCATTTGTGTTGGCGGGCAGGTTGTGTCGGCTGTATGTCGGTGCCTGAAATAGAAAATACACCCAATTGATTTTCTTTACACTTGTAATATGAATAACCTGTGCAGTCTGGTTGATCATGGGGCCGCAGGGACACCCACTCCAGCTCACCAGAGCTCCTTTTGGTATCACATGGGCACCATGGACTCGCCACAGGTCCCTTTGGTATCACATGGAAAAATGCAGCCTTGCACTAACCTCACTGCTGCAGGGCAAGATGGGAAGAAGCCTGAACATAGCTTTAAGTCTTGGACCTCAATGGCTACATTTTTATGCCATTTTTTATAGAGTCATGCCTGCTCGAAGCATACCATAAAAATACCCACCTACACAAGGCTGCTAACATCTCTGGGATTGTCCTCCCTTTGTCAGCCCTCTTCTGATCACACAATTGGGACTTACAGATCTGAGGCAGATCCCGAGAGAGACAGATGGTTAACCCACCTCTGAGCCTTGGTACTAATATTACTGAGCCAGGAGCAAGTTGAAGGTGTCCCCGGGAGCAAAAGACTATGTTAAAAGGAGTACATCTCCAGAATGAGACACACAGCTGAGTTTCCTTTCCATACTTGGACAAACTACACCTTAATGTTACCCTAAAAATGAGCATTTTTTAGGACAATCTTTTTAATTTATCACATACATCTAGTGATATGAGGGAAATAATTATCTACCTTAAAGAGAAAAATTCACTGAAGTTTATAAACCCTCTTAAAAAGCAGAACCTGATCTCAGTCTCACTTGAAAGGGTCCTTGTAAAGTTGTTCTGCTGAGCCAGAGCATTACCAGGCCTTCAGAACTGAAATTGAAGTATTATAAGCCGCATTATTTTACTTCCTATCTTTCATTTCCGAAAGCACACAGTTCTCAATACCACATAGAAAGTGACTGGCGCAAATAGTCATTACTGTAATTGATTTTGAAGAGAGAAAGTTCATTTCAGTAATCTAAGAGGCAGCCATATATGCAAATTGTTGCTGGTAAGATAAGAAATTAATATTATAAGGATAATTGGCCATGGCAAATCAAACAATATTAGGGATGAATATCATATTAATAATGACACATTTAAATGAGAAAGGCCTAGCATTTTCTAGCAAATTTATGTTACAAAAATTAGCCCCATTTATCTGTGTAGTTTCAAGGTTACTGTAATACATTCTCTACCACTCATTGGTGTACAACAGCACTCAGTTGCATATTCTGGGCCCGAGATTGGACTAATTAGATGTGATACACTGGGCTGCATCAGAATCAGCGCAAACCGTTGCAAAGCAAATCTCCGTAGAGGTCTTATCACCCCCATTTTATGGGGGAAAAAAAGCCACAAACACATAAAGTGAAGCACCAGAGGAGGTGGAATTTTTTCTGCCTTTCCCTCCCTGTGGCAAGGATAAACTGTTGCTGCCATCCAGACCGAGGATTTACCCGCCTCTCAGCTGACTTTGGGCCACCCTTGTCACCGCTGGCCCACCCACCTCCCCAGGGGAATTTCCACTGCTGCTGGCCACCTGCCAGCCCGCTGCCTCCCACCAAGCCCTGCATCCCTCCCTGGGTGCCAGGTAGCCGTCCGACAAACACTGGTCCCTCTCACTGCCTAGCAGGGGCACGTAGGTCGGTCACCCAGCCGGCCACCTCCACCCCCAGGCTGAAGACCCGGGACTTCAGGCTCCCTCGGGGATGTTTGGCAGCCTTTGGGAAGGTGGTTTCTGAGTCACAGGTCTCTGTGCAGCGAGGGAAGCCTGACCTCTACAGCTCATGCCCAGATTTTCCTGGCTTTTCCTGCTGCTGTCAGGGTGAAAAGCTGATGGAAAAAAAAGCTGCTTTCCCTCTTTCCACCCAGGAGAGAGCCCTGAGCCAGGGTTCCTTCCCTTCCCCATCCTGCTCTCAGGTCGGCATGGCTGCATGATCAGGGCTCGTGTTTCCCACCAGCGTGACCCCCCTGGTGCTACCACCCACCAGCCGTGGCTACGATATGGGGAGGGCAAACAAGAGTTTTCTTTCGGTCTGCAAATAGTGAGCGATAGCAGGTCGCTTACGCACCCTTTGTCGCACTTGATATAGATTATGTGCCAGGACATCTCTCATGGACTCCACCTCTGCGGGGGAGAGCCTATGTACACGCCAATTCCTGCCACTCCTGCAAATAAAAGAGAAGTTTAAATATGATATTAATGAGTTGATTAAATACTGTTCCCAAGCATGGTTTCTTTTTAGCGCTGGAGCAGAAGGCTATGACGAGCCTTCCGATGACCCGTGACACCACGAAATCATCCAAAGATGAATTAAAAAATAGCAAATTTTGTTCTTTTCTCGGTTTTATCAATACACTGGGGTAGTCAGAATGGTCTGTCATATACGTGACAGCAGAAACTCTTCTTTTATTTTTCAAAGCTTCATAAGGAAGTTGGTATTAAAGGATTAGATTGGCAACAACCAGTTGTAGATTCAGGAGAGCACTGCGAGTTTCTTCCTCTGTCTGAATACATTCTCCAACATGGTCTAGTGGTCTGGGCCTTATGGTCCTACTTGTTTTAACTCCTTTGAGAAAGTGCAGCAAATCCTTAAGAAGTGAAGTACATGCTGATGAAGGAGTCCAAGAGATCTGCCTTGTGGTGAGGAGAACGTATAGGGTTTCCTCGGTACTGAGCCTGTTTCTCCATTTAAAATGAAAGAACTAGCTAAAAGATAGCCGTCTTTGTGTTTTTAACAAACTGGGACAAGAAGCCCACAATAACTTGTAGCTGCCTGCCCTTTTCACCGGCAAAACAATGGCCAAAGGCTGCTGCGAAATGTTAACTGATTTTGCTAAATCGGTCAATCTGCGTGAGAGTTAGCATTCGCCTAAATTCCCAGGAAAAGAAAGAGAAACAGATAGTGATCATCCGGGATGAATCAGTCTGAGTTTGTTTTCCTGTCTCTGTTTTTTTCCTTTCTTCATTTTTCTTTCTTAACTTTTTAAAAAAGAAAAAAAAAAGAAAAAAGAAATTGCAAATCTTTGTTCTCAGCTAAGTGATGTCCTTAAAGTGGTGTCTGTAAATTGTGCAATTAAAGAATGGATTATGATTAATGTACAGTATTGCTAAAACTCTGTGTGTATTTATTTTGTAATCCCTCTAAAATAAATATAAAACTTTTAACGACAAAGGGAGGTGAATTCAAGCTAAACTAAGATTATGCTGTAAACATAGGAAAAGTTGCAGTTTGCAATTACGGCTAATTTAAAAAGTTTATGACCGTTGTCTGCTATAATATCTATATGAACATGAACATCTTGAAAACTTGTAGGACCATAATGAGCAGCCTGGATTCTACATTTTACTCTTACTGTCAAGTAGACGGTAAGCACTGGTGGCCTGGTTCTGTCCAAAGTCCCTGGAATATAAGAATTAAATCCTGGTATATTTTAAGGTTTCAAAATGTGATTTCAATCTGCATCAGATCAAAACTGCGATCTGCCAAATTTTTCATCAATTAAAAAGAAAAAGAGAAAATGGCAATAAGTTAAGGAGCAGTGTTCGAGGAAGGGCTGTGATAACCAATAGTTTAAGTATCTCGCTGAGGCATGAGACAGCCATGAGTCTGCCACTCAGCTATTGGCAAGCCAGAGTGAGAGAAAAAGGACTGCCTTTCTGGATTTGACCAGAAATCTTATCTTGGCCCTGATAAATCCTTCCTAACAAATGTTTAATTGATATTGATCAATTCTCAACAACAGCAACAACAACAAACCCAAGTATTTACCAGCAGAGGAGAAAGACCATCACCACCACCCAGTTCCAGGCCAGCTGGGCTTTTTGGTTGGTTGGTTGGTTTTTCCCTTGCTTTCAGCTCTCAGAGATAGCACTGAGAGGATCCAGTGATGCCACCAAGTTTCCCAGCTTAGGGGTAATGCACCTTTATTCCATACTGGATCTGGCATGTCCTAGGCTGTGGGACAGTTAAGGTAAGCTACTTTCCACATCAAGGAAACCAGTCTCTGCTGACGGCAGCCTGTAGCTGCTGTCCCTTTGGGCAAAAGGGAGACCAAGATACCAGGGCACACCTGGGAAAGCAAACATAAGCACAGCCTCTGGGGATCAATGTCAAGTAGTGGTATATAGAATGCAGGCTTGGCTCATTTGCATAATGCAAATTGAACTGTCATGGTTGATGCAAGCAGTGTTGAGATCATAGCGAATAACTGTCTGTCTGGTCCTCTCTTCACTGAATGTCTCCACAGGGTCTTTATACCTTACAGTTGGCAATAAGATAGGGAAAGTGGTGAGCAGAACTCCACTGGAAAGATACATCATATCATCCCTTTGCTTTTCCAGTTGCATATCTGACCCCCTCCACATTCCAGCACAGAAGTGGCCTGTCCTAAGTCATTTAAAGGCTTACCATTTTGCTCTTAAAGTGACTAAAATAAAAGAAATAAAATTCCCTGAGTTTCAGCTGACCTGGGATAACAAGAGAACAAACAGCTTGAAGATAGCCTGTATTGTTCTGGAGCACAAATAAAAAATGTGTATTCTTTTCACAGGATTAGACATTAACCTACCCAACCAGTAACAATGCACTAGTATGGTAATAAGGAACAGATCTCTTTTACATTTTTCAACATTGGAAAAGGCCTTTCAAATGAACCCAAAGCAGTTTGGTATCTTACCTAACCCATAAAGCAATCCTTATTAAAACTATTTCTTTGTTCTTATTGAAACTTCCAGCATGTTACAACAAAGCACAGCACAGGAGATATGTTTGCAAAGAAAATACTGAAATGACAACATGCAGTTAAAACTGCCAGTCTCTCTGTAATAAGTACCATGACAGTATCTCTTTCTTCTTTAGACATAGATAGTTGATACGCGGAAGAATTATAATACCTTCCACAACCTTGTAAGATTATTTTTTATATATAATACATATAACTTTGAACTTTGTGAACTCTCCACCGATCCTCACTACTCCTGTGAAGGAAGTACCATTCATTAGGCACAGCTCTTGCACAACTGCACCACCACAAATGACAACACGGCACTTGATTCTGATCCGTATTATACTCATGCATTCTAAGATTTGCTCTTACTAAAGTCAGTATTGCAGTAACATGAAGCCAACATTAAGTAAGCTCAGCATTAAACCATCTCTCTCTAATGGGCAAAAAACAGCCATGCAAACACAGTTTTGATAATATCTGTTTGGCTCTGCTTTTGACATTTCTATCCTTATTTCTAAGGCTTATATTCTCCAAAACATCATAACAAAATGATCTATTTTCATTCAAATGTGGATTCTTTGTTGCACAGTCCATGGGCAAATTTCTCCAGTCTGCACTGGAAATGCTTAGTGCCTATTGGACTCCCAGTCCACCTGCAAGAATCACACCAGCATGAATGCAATTTCTAAGAATAATGCTAATTCACAGCAATAGAGATCTGCTTTGATTGTTACAGAGCATTTCCCCTCACGTGCCTAAAGGCTGAAGGACTGATCAGAAGTGCTAGTGAGAGAGCTTTCTCACTACTCTGGCACCACAAATATTGCTTTACATGCCATATGTTGGAATTTGATTTCAATTTTCTATTGCTTATGACCAGATTTTTGTATCCTAACTGGATTGCTTTACATGCCATATGTTGGAATTTGAGTTCAATTTTCTACTTGCTTATGGCCAGATTTTTGTACTGAAGACAGGGACTTTAGGTACAAGTTACTTCAATGATAACAATCAAACAATTTATAGATACATTTGGAAACCTTTTAGTCTTAAGCAGTTTCACATAATTGCTCGGGAGAATGGACATAGAAAAACTGCTGCATTGGCTCAGACCAAAGATCCAGCAACTAGCTCGCTATCCTGTCTCCATCAGTGCTCAACAGAGGACAGCTATCAAAAAGAGAGCTGGGAAAACACGTATTTTCCTAGAATGCTTTCACAGCCTCCAAGAATCAGAATGTTTCTGAGCCACAGGCTACACTTTGATTTTTGAAGTTGACACTTCATTTTTAAAAAGGACGTCTCAGTAAGGAGAACCTGTGCACCAGAGGTTGATGCACAGAAAAATTCTATTACATCCAGAGTAGAGCTGGAAAAAAATTAGTCCATCATATCAGCTGTTTATTATAGGATATATTTCAATCTAAATTCACCATTCTGGAGAGAATTTCTGAACTACAAGAAAGCAATATTTCTTATATTCTCTTTCCCTCAAGAACTGAAGAGGAATGTGGGTTGATTGCCATAGATTGTCTACCAACCTTGCACATTTTCTCTTGGCTCAGAACAGTTAAGGGAATACAGCAGACAGAAAGGAGCCTGTCAGACACACAATCTTTTTTTAATATAATCCATTCAGCAAAGAATGATTCAGAAAGAAAAGGGCTAGGTCTTATGCTGCATGCTGACACCAGTTTCAAGAAAGCAGATAAATCTGGACATGATTAAGCCAAAGTTTCAAGAGAGATTTTAATTCAATGTCTGGATGGTATTTGGACTTTCTGGGGTGGGTTGAGATGATCATTCAAAAAAGGAAATATGCTGGGCCCTGACAGAAGCTGCTGCAAAATGGGGAGGGGTTGAAGGATGCAGCAGCAGAGAGCAGGCAGTAGCAGGAGCAGTGGCCAGTGGGAGGCCAGGAAAACATTTGTGGGGGCAAGTGCCACTAGAAATACCCACAGTCTGGGCAGTAGGTTGCAACGTGAGGATAAATATATGCATAGCATTAAAGTATGCAGGAGTGAAGATTTGTACAGACTTCTCTCCTAGAGGGTAGTTCCCTCAGTGATGGCTCTGGAGATCCCACCATTTTTCTCCCCTGGTCTGTCTGATGCCAGGTTGCATTACTGTTTCATAGAATCATAGAATCGCAGAATGATTTGGGTTGGAAGGGACCTTTAAATGACATCTAGTCCAACCACCCTGCAAGGAGAAGGTACACCTTCAACTACATCAGGTTGCTCAGAGCACCGACCAACCTGACCTTGAATGTTTCCAGGAATGCAGTACCTACGCCTGACCTTGAATGTTTCCAGGGATGGAGTACCTACCACCTCTCTAGGCAACCTGTTCTGGTGTTTCACTCTTCTCATTGTAAAAAGATTTCTCCTCCATATCAAGTCTGAATCTACCCTCTCTTAGCTAAAAACCATTACCCTTTTTCCTATCACTACAGGACCTGCTAAAAAGACTGTCCCCATCTTTCTTATAAGCCCCTTTCAAGTATTTCCTCCTAGGAGAAGTATTCCCTCCCTCTAATAATTTTTGAGTCCCTTCTCTAAACATGCTCCAGCACATCCATGTCTTTCCTGTACTGAGGGCTCCATAGCTGGACACAGTACTCCAGGTGAGGTCTCACCAGAGTGGGGCAGATGGGCAGAATCATATCCTTTGAACTGCTGGCCATGCTTCTTTTGATGCCGCCCAGGATGTGGTTGGCTTTGAGGGCTGAGAGGACACATCGACAGGTCATGTTCAGCTTTTCAGCCACCAAGTCCTTCTCCACAGACCTGCTCTCAATGATTAATTGGACAAATTTGGTACAGAAGTACCAAAATATGGCAAGACAGTTTGAGGGACTGCAAACCGAAGTAGGTAAAATTACAAATGCTACAAGGAAATCTGCTCTCAGCAAAGAATTGATGAGAATAATGGAGTTGGGACTTGTGCTCTAAGCAATGCTGCAGGTCCCTAGGCACCTAGCAGTGATGAATAAAACCAGCTGGCCAGCTAAGTATTGAGTATGGCCACCTTGAACCACTGCTGTGATTTAAAGAATCCAGAGTGGTTTCTGCACCTGACTCATGACTCCTCTTCAGAACTGCCCATCACTGAACAGAAACAGAGAAAATGTTCCTGGTTTTAATTTTCACTCTGTGAATAAAAAACCAAAGTGCAAATAAGATGAGCAACAAATTGCCAGCACAAAACAGCAACTTCTCTTTTTATAACTGTCTTTATTTTTTTCTTACATTTCTATTTCCTCATTTGTTCCCTTCCTTCCCTACTCTGCAAAGGGTCAGGGGGTCAGTACTCACTGTAAAGCAGCTGAAGATGATTTTGAAATTTTCATGCCACTCTCAGCCATCTCTATGGCCAGTTTTATCTCCATCTTTTTGTACAATGACACAATGCTGGATTTGGGCTGGTGTTCCCGAATCAAGATTTTCTTTAAATACTTATTGTCAAACTTCTTAAATCTGCAAAACAGATATTAAAATCAAAGTGAAAAAAAAAGGAAATGTGTTTTTATTTCTGTGGTACAAGCTGATCTTTATTCAAACACACACATATAAAATTCAGTGGTGGAAACTGAATCCAAATTGGAAGCACCTGTGGACTCCTGAAGGCCTAGGGAGTGGAGACCTTTAGGGGCACATTTGGCATGGTCTACTGCTCCACGGAGATTGTGAAGCCCACCAGACAAAAGAAAGAAACAAGCTGCAATCAGAGCAAAGAAGAGGGCTGGGTGTGTGTTTGCATATAACACCACCACATTTGTCAGAAAAGAATATGGCCAGTCTCCATGCTTTTGTACAAATGTCGTATTCTAGTAGGGCATAACAGCAGCAGCTGCTCTTACAGTAATCCTGGCCTATTCAGCCAGCCACCAATGAGGCTCTAAATGGCCCGGCAGTTACAGTAGTTTGGGCCCATTATGTTGCTGATAATTTTGAATCCTGACAATTAGAGCAGAGAAAATACATTTCTTTGTATTCTGAATAACAGAGAAATTGAATGGACCACAAAATACTATGTGCTCGCATGCTGCAGATTGTAAAATACCACTAATGTGTTGCATAATTTGAATGTGAATGTGTGTGTGCTTTTTGGAACAGGTATGTGCTTTCAGGCAAATGTTTAGCAGAACAACAGCAGATCTTCTTATACATTTCTTTCAAAGGAATACTTTACCACAGCAAGGTAATGTGCTCCACAATTCTGGGAATAGCACTACAGAGCTTGTACATTTTTTCTTAACAAAGGCTAGTTTTTATACATTAATAGCAGAGATAGGTACATAGATGTTTCCACTTTTAAAGTTTTTCTGTCTGTTCTGTCTGTTTTTCTGGAGTGTCATCCCTTAGGTAATTAATTCTGATATACATATGCTAAATGTCTTTAAAGTTGTGTGGAAAAGTCTAGGGAATACCTCTTAGTACAATCTTCTTATATTAAAAGTCTTCACGTACAGTGTGTTTTTTGAATCTGCTCTTGAAATGAAACGCTACATTTATGGCTAGTTTGGACAAGATTCTCTTTTCATAGCTGTTGCTTCAATGTGGGATAAGGGCATAACATTTTCTCACAGACATGTGTAAATGCATCTATTTCAATGGAATTAGTGCTGCGACAGGGATTTGCACAGACAGTGGTGTGGTCCCAGCAGATGTCCTAAAGGTATATCTGTGATACCCACTATGAGAGACAAGAGAACTTTTTAGCTTCTGGGTCCAGGTATGTGCCCTAGCACATGCCATCATTACTACTCATTGGGACAAGATCTGGATGCAAACCAGCCACCTTCCCACTTTTAATTCCTAATTTCCATAGGAAGAAACCCAGCCACGAAAAGGAGTTGCCGTATGTCTTAACAGACCCCCCCGACTGGATTACTGGGGTCCAGTGCTGAAAGGTGAGACAGAGGACTCCAGCACAGAAGTCTAGGCATCACTAGGATAACTGGGGATGATTTTTAGCCCACAGCATCATGATAAGACGTTTGTGGGAAAGGAAAATCTGGACTCTCCCCACACTTCCCTTTGTGTGCCGTGGTGGTGGCCAATGTGATCACAGGGCTTCCCTAGGGAAAAGATAAAGGGAATGGTAGCTTAGAATGGGAGATCTGTCTCTTCTGGACAGTACCTGGAAGAGTCACAAAGCTTCACAAAACCACCTCATCCTGCTTATAGAAGACGCAACACAGGACCTCTGTTTCTGAGTGAAGACTAGATTGAAAGTATCTGCTTATGCTACTGGATATTACAATTCTACCATCCCCTTCAGTACTTTTATTTTAAGTATTACTGAATGCAAAGACCTGTAAGGCCAGATGACTAGTTACTATTGAATCTGTACTCGCCAACAAGGGATCATATCTGCTGTGGAGACTTACAGCAAAAGTCAGTGAAGCACTGACACCTTACGTTGCTTCTGTTCTAAATCCTGACCTAAAGGAGCACTGTCACACATCTAAGATTTATACCAAAGCTAGGTGCACAGGCTGATGTCTGCAGCATGAGTTCCCGTGTTACATTTTTCTTTCAGAAGGCTTATTTTCTGCTTGTTTGTGCAGAAGCAATTTAGCAGGCAATACACGAGCACTGCACTCCCAAGAGATAACGGTTACTCAGGACTTCACTTTTTAAAAAGAGATATTGCACACAACCCCCAATATTTTCATGCTATTTTAGTGTTATGAAGCATAAGATTGATTTCCTATTTTGTTTACCTATTGTATTTCACATGATAGATAGGTTATTTTATTATAGTATGCTGCAATAAGAGATGCTTACTTATCTCTTAGCTGATAATGACTCCAATGTCCACATATGTCTTCAACACCAGCCTTCAAGTGATCCATCAACTAGAGAAATAAACATGGAAAAATTTTAAGTGGCCATTATGAGAAAATGTCACCACAAACATGCAATTGTTGACAGGATTTTGAGATTTTTTTTTTTAATTAGACGGTGTGAGTTGATTGTGAAAGCATCCGCATTTCTCTAAAAATCAAGGCAAAAATCCCACTGCAGCAGTTCCTATGTATGGCTGCAGTGGCAATATTTTGATGTAGATCTGTCAGTCTGCTGTCATCTCACCCAGTAACATACAGGCTCAAGTAAGGGGCTATGTCAAGTGGAAGATGATACTGAGCATCCGAATTGCCTGGTCCTCTTTGTCTATTGAGACCAAAAACTAAATGCTTGATTCTGTCAACCAAGTCTCCCTCCTGCACGTATGACCTCCCTGAGAGCAGCACAGGGCCAAGTACGCCACAATAGTTCAACTCATTTCAGTTCAGTAACACTTGATTCAAGACTTTTAAGGTGTCAGTGTGTCTAGAACAAGTCAAAGGATGGCAACAAAGGTATCTGACAAATCTAGCTGGAAAGGATCAGAGCATTTTGTAAATGCTACCTTTATGTTTCTGTCCTCCCAGCATCACAAGTATCAAGAAGTAAGGGACCTGCTACACCATGACACTTGTGGTAAGATATTATGGCAGTCACTATGAATATAAAATGAGTTGTCGTGGTTTAGAACATTATGCCTGGGTGTCCTCAAATGTTGTTAAAAGCACTCAGTGTCCAAATCCACTGAATGGCAGTGCCTCCCTCTATCCAGTTCTTTCAGCACACCCTTCCTCTTCTTCTTTTTAGGATACCAGCTACTGATAGAAAAAAACTTACTCGCACATGAATTTCTTCATTGATAGACTCCTTTTTGTTGGTCTTTTTAACATCCAGATATCTGACCAATGGTCCAATTGTGATTCCCTGCATTTGGAACAATGAGTTCAAATGTTAATTATCTTTCTTAAAAAAAAAAAAGCAAAAGGAATTAATTTTAATCAATTAGGAAAGCTGCATCTTAAACACAAGAATGATTTTTTACCTGTAGGGAGCACGACAGAAGAGGATTAAAACTCAAAAACTTTAAAAAATAACACACCAGTTTTTTTTTAAATGAGATTGCATTTATCAACATGTTTTAATTACATAAAGTAACTGACTCATTGCTGGCCTTCTTCAAAATAACACCCACTTGAAAGAAAGCTTTGTGAGGTTCTTACAATCTTGAAATCTCTTACTTCAACATTTTCAGAATTAAATATTTTGGATTTTTTTTACTTAGAAACCATTTTCAGCTGTGCCCAATTCTGTACCGCAAGAACCTTACTGTTCTTTACAGAGCAGTATTTGGGTGCGATAGAAGGGCGATAGAGACAAAATGTTTTTTCTGAAGCATTCTGATGGAATCTGAGTGCCTAGACAAAATGTTTTTTCTGAAGCATTCTGATGCAATCTGAGTGCCTGACTACAAGTACATACTGCACCATTGGCACCCTAGAGTATCTGAGATGATGGTATGTGATAATACAGAACATGGGATGCAAGCCCTCCAGAAGATCCAGTTCTTCCAGGTGTAAGCCAGGTGGAATAAACCAAATATCTGAAGAAGCCACCTATTCTTACAAATCTGAATTACTCACTTTATTTTTCTTTAATTTCTTTTACAAAGATTTCAAAAATGTTCTCATTTGGTCTCCAAGATGGATGAAGATAAAAGTTAAAAATTCAAAATCATTCACAGAACAGACATATTGTTTTTTGTTTAGTTTGAGATACACCACTATTAGAGAACGATTCTGTGCTGAAGTGTAAAGTTAAAATGCTTCTTAATGTGGAAACATTAGGAAGCACATGTGCAGTGAACATAAGAGAATTTGGACACAAAGTGACCTTTTCGCTCAGTATTTTAGATGACACAGGTTTTCAATACAGACTTTCTGAAAAGAGTTATTTAATAATACCTAAAAAGCCCTGAAAGGGTAATTGCACAGTGCAGTGCTAAATCTGGCCATAAAATACAATAGCTTGTCCTAGTTTAAGAACAAATCAATGCAATCTTCACTATGAAGCTTTCGGTCACTTCTGTGACATGAAAGCAATCTATTAAGAAGTACACTTACTTGGATGAACACAGTGAAATATATAACTACAAGAGTAGCAGTGATGAACAATTTTTTTCTTGGGAAGAGCTTCCCTGGAAGCAAGAATGCAAGAGAGAAACTGCTGGCTCCTCGAAGGCCACTGTAGGAAATAATGAGTTGGTCTTTCAAGGTGAAGGGATAGGTTCGGAACTTGTTACTGACGTAGAAGAGAGCAAATACACCTAGAAAGGGAAAAACCACAACTATTATTAATTAAGGAGAAAAGGAAAATATTTAAAGTGAAACAAAATCTTGGCTCAGGCAGCTTTTGATAGCAGAGCAAATACACCTAGAAAGGGAAAAACCATGACTATTATTAATTAAGGAGAAAAGTGAAACAAAATCTTGTCTCAGGCAGCTTTTGATAGACCTTTCTTTTCAATTTGGGGTTCTTATAGCTTCTCTTTGACCAACTGCTGAATCTGTTTTGTGTGAAATAATCTAGAAAAGACCATGTTTCCAAACTGCTTCAGGATTCACATTCATGTATGCAGTTTAGCATTGAGACTAAGGGAGAAGATTCACTTTCTATATTTGTATTGCATAGTGTTTTTCTGAAGTGTTTTGGAGACAAGACAAACCACTGAATGAGAGTTTCTCCTCTGCCTTCCCCTGCAATGTTTCTGACTTTCTGCACAGTATCTGCCCAAGATGTTTGAACACTGTTTTACCAACAAGTCCTGCGGACAGGTTCAGTGAAAGGCAGAGAGTAATAGCATTTTAATTTTTAATCCTCTGATTTATTGTGTCTCTAATTCTCTGTTTATTTCTCAAATTTCATTTTACTTTTAATAAAATTTAAAATTAATCTGATAGCCTGTGGCTGTGTAAGGACTGCAGCTCTTTCTTTGTAGAGTACATTTAGCAATTTGCTTGATTCACTCTTAATCTTCTTCACCTTCCTAAGAAACATGTATCCTATGTTTTGTGTGGAAACTGTTAAATTACTGAAGTAAAAGCTGAAAAATGCTCATAATTACTGGTTTTATTTTACACAGCTGTCACTGATAAACTCCGTGGATTATTACAGATAAGGCTAGTATCAGTATCCTGTTACGTAGGTTCCTGCACACTGCTTTATATAAGACCTTTTTTTGGTACTTATAACTATGTTAGACATCAGCTACTCGGACTGAAACTGCATATGTATGTGAGGTATCACCCTCAGGCCAATTCTCTTTACTTTATTCAAGCTGCAGAGAAAATGATGTAATCATTTTAGCAAACAAATTTAGCGGAAAATATTTCAGTCTTCCTCTGGAAAGCTCTAGCACTCCCCTTGGTGTTTGAGAGAAGGATGGACATGTGGTAGCAAAAAAGCTTTTGTACCAGGAGAGCACTTTTTCTGCCTCAATTGGAAGGGTGTTCCAATATGGACTCTGAAAAAACTTAAAGGCCATACTTGGTCCAGGATCAGCAAGAAAATATTTAATTACGTTCTTTTTGCAGTCAACCCACAAGAATCATATCACCTTTACTGTTGAGTATTTGTGCCATCCTTATATGAGCTGTTCAGATGCATATACTTGAACCTTCACAGGTTTCCCCTTTCCTCTTTTTCCTCTGGTAAAATGCCTTCCTCCAGGGCTCACAGGCTTAAAAGTCAAAGGTCTTGAAACGTGTATGGGCTTTGAGGTTCAAGCCAACAACTTCTTCCAGCTCTTTTGGCTGAGAGATAAGCCACAGGAGAGATTTAAGAAACAGCACCCTAATCTTAGATGTTTGATACCAATACTTATCTGGTCTCAAATGTTAGAATCAGAGTACTGTAGGTTGGAAAGGACGTTTGGAGGTCATCTAGTGCAAATCCCTACTCAAAGCACAGCTGATCAGACCAGGTTGCTCAAAGGTCCAGTAGTCTTGAATGTAAAGACACTGGAGAGCTGGGCCACTGTTACAATATTGGATCACCCTCATGTTAAGAAACATGTTTCTACTGTCTAATCAGAATTTCCCATGTTCCAGCTTGTGTCTTTTGTTTCCTGACCTATTGCTGTGCACTTCTGAGAGTGTCTGGCTCCATCTTCTCTCTCTTTTCTGATCAGGTACTTATAGAAAGTAATAAGATCCCTCCTGTGCCATATCTTCCCCAGGCTGCATAGACTCAGCACTCTCAGACTCTCCTTTTATGTCCAGTGCTCCCGCCTCTGACCAGGTTGGTGGCTTCTATTGCATTTGGTCCAGAACCTGCATGTTCTTTCTATCCTGGGGAGCCCAGAACTGGAGACAGCACTTTGGAGAGAGCACACACTTCCAACAGTGCTGCTTTCTAACAGTGCTGAAAAGAGGGGCAGAAACACTTTGCTAGACCTGCTGGCTACACACTTGCTAATGTAGCCCAGGACACAGTTGTCCTTCTTTGTCCTATTTTGAAATAAGGTTGCCTGCAATCTTGTATTTTTGAACCTCTCATGTGTACTACTTCCAAAACAGCTTTCATTGCAAAAGGATTGTTCACTCATATTTTTAATTAAATTTAAATGACAAATAACAGTGGTTGAGTAGGGTGTATTCCATAAGAAAACTTTTGCAGTCATAGAGAGCTACTGTGTGTAGAAAGGGAGCAATTTCAAACAGGCACTCTTCTAGCAGTTTGAAACTTCAGAGTTGACTTGTGAGGAGCAGTAGCATAGCTTGGTTGGACAACGTGTGGTATAAGGAAGAAAAGTCTCTGTTCAGTTATCTGCTAGTGCTAATTTTCACTTTCCCTCTTTTCCAATGCCTCTGGCACTCCTCGCCCAGGACCTGTAGTGTTGAAGCACCCACCAGAAGTGCTATATCATTATATATACATTACTTAATTAGTAAGTTAATTACAGTGTGCAATTAAATCATTATGAAACTCACTTATCCAAGGACATGCTTTATCTTAACTAAGATATAAACATCTATATAGGCATAATCATGACAATATTTTAATTTTGCTTAAAACAGTCCATTCTCACCTAATTATAAAGTCTGTGCTTGGAGACTGGCATTCAGATTTCTGGGGGGCTTTTTTCCCCCTTCTGGTCCATGTGTAGATTTGTGAAATTAACTTGTCGGTAACATAAGCCTATTAAATTTGCTATTAAACTGGTTATACCAGCCTGCACAAAGTTTTCAAACATACCTTTGCACCACAGTGTTTCTCTCAGAGGGGCAAAGGAGGTTGCCTGCAAATGCTGACTTACTCAGTGTTCGCCAAATGAGGCAGAAGAGCAGAGTGAAGCAAATGAAGGCCCAGTTCCACTCGTGGTTTTTCCCCACTGTAGACACTCCCATGAACACAAAAATCAGGGTCTCACTGACGCTGCTCAGCATCTTCATGAAATATTTTATTGTGGTATAGGAATTCTGGGAAACATTCTCCTCCACGTATTTTTTCATTGTCACTGCGCATGCTGTCATCCTGCACCAGGCAAAACATCAGATATCAGTCACAACTTGTTTTTCTTTTCATTTAAGAACAACCTCACCTTTCATACCTGCACCCTCCGTCACCAGCCTCTGACCTTCCTAATGCCAAGAAGCATTTTATTTCTTCAGTAATGTTAGCTATTTCATTAGATAGAAGACCATCTCCATTCAGCTTTACAGATCCATTTTGCATACAGGAAAAAGGAAGCAAATCAGTCAGCCTTCCTGACGAGGAAGTGAAGGTATCATGTTCCAGTTCAAAGTCTAGTTTGCTTTATCCTGAATGCCTAAGATGCAGCCACCAAGCACCAAATATTTGAGTCTCAAACAAAGGGAAAGTCAGTTTTGTACCAGCTTCTGGACGGATAGGTTAGAGGGATATAACCTGCCTCTTATTGATCTTCACCTTTGAGGTGGTGGTGGGAGAACATGTTGGTTGTCTTATGCTAGGGCCAAAGCTCCTGGTGGCTCCCTGCCAGCTGGCTGGCAGATCAGCAGAGCCAGGGTAAGCTTTGCTGACTCTCCACCCACAGGACCCCATTGCTGTACAGCAGGGGGAAACACTTGTCCCACAGAGGGGTCCTTCCCTGCCTTTTAGTTACCCAGGGTGTGGGGAATGGACGTAAGGAAGCAAAAGGATGTTTTCTACCTCTTCCTTGCCTGATTCAGAGTCATCCACAGCCACCCAGCGCAGACGGTGGTAGCAATCCCATGGAGCAGTAGTTTGCTACTACTGAAGGGGTTTTACTCTTCCCCACTTCATTTTCCATAGTCATAGGTAGTAGATAGATTGAGTGATATGCTAGTAACATATTCCATCATCTATCTAGTTTCTGCTGATATTATTTTAGTCTTTGGGGACTTCTTGTGATGATATTTTTCAAAACCTGTGAATTCAGAGAACGCTGACTGTTCATTAAATAACCCTTCATCTAGTTTCTGCTCATTTAATTTCCACTGAAGAAATCTCAAGGGTATTCTGGCGGAGCTGAGACATTTAGCAGGTCCAAGGACACTCTTAAGACAAGGCCATTAGGCATTAATGTTTAATACTGTTGACTTTCAGAAACACATGCCTAATAGACTTTCATGATCCAAGTCAAAAACGAATGAATTCCTCAATAATTCAGAAGGGTGACAAAAAGTTCCTATCCCTAAAACAAGCAATAATTTCCTTAATGAAGCACTAAGAATAATAAATCCATATTATATTAACATTTTTTTATTACTAATAATTTCACCAGTCTAATGAAAATAAGGAGCAAAAGAAATAAAGAGCTATATAGTCTAGGGTAATGAATAGGCAGGAAAGCAGTATTTTGGGTAGTGCAGATAGGATCGGGTCCATAGTGTATTAGTGCTCACCACATAGTAGGTCTAACCCTGTTCAGCTAAAGTCACCAGTCACCTCAATTGGAGAAAATTGTACTATGCAAAGCATAGTACAAGACTCATCTGCTTTGTCTAATTGCTCAGAAAACCATATCTCCTGTCTAACTACTTATTTAGTTATATTGCTTCCTGCCATCCTGCAAAGGTGGTTTTTACAAAGCCAATTCTCCTCTGAAGCTGAACAAACTGGGGTGGTTCAGCCTGGAGAAGAGAAGGCTCCAGGGAGACCTCACTGTCATCTTTCAGTGCTTAAAGGGGGCTTATAAGAAAGCTGGGAACAGACTTTTTAGTAGGCCCTGTAGCGATAGGACAAGGGGAGATGTTTTTTAACTAAAGGAGGGTAGATTTAGATAAGGAAGAAATTTTTTACCATGAGGGTGATGAAACACTGGAACAGGTTGCCCAGAAAGGCAGTAGAAACCCCATCCCTGGAAACATGTAAGGTCAGACATTGGGTTCTGAGCAATCTGATCTAGTGGAAGGTTTCTCTTCTTATTGCAGGGTGGTTGGACTAGATGACCTTTAAAGATCTCTTCCAACCCAAACTGTTCTGTGATTCTATGAAACCAGGGTTTGACAAGTGAAGGTGAGTAAATGCACTCTCTCACCTCTATTCCTTCCTTTCTCTTCTGATTCCTTCTCTGCCACCATCCTCTTTCCTTCCCACAACACTCCTCTCCATAGTTACTGCAGTTGATAGACCTAGCAGCTTTCTCTCTGCAGTGGGCACCCGTGCCATGACAGCACTTCAAGGAAGTAGTCCCCAGCATTACAGCAATATCAAGCTACCCTGATCACATCAAAATCTGATCTTCAATATCCATATACATGAGTATATGTATGCATATGTGCTTGATGTCCTCGGTTGTCTGGTTTTGCCTAGTTTCAGTTCCAGTGATACTGTTCAAATGTAATGTAATTCCAGTAAATTGTGTTAGAGCTGATGTTCGCAGCTGTATACAAAACCTCTATACTCTAACGGTCTTTATTATGTTTTCCATACTCATTACTTTTCATCTCTCTTGTAATCTGATGGTGATGCTCGTTAGAAATAAAACCAGATACACTATTATCAAATCAGTCGTTCATTCTGGTGATCTTATCAGAGGTAGCAGCCAGATGGTGGCAGCACTAGGCATTTTACCCACCGCATGCAGTATTTTTTCCAACAGGCAAGAATCTAAAAGAATTTGGAGCAGAAACGCGCTCCTCAGTAGCATATCTATGTAGATGCTGACTGTGGGTTTGTTTTTCCTAGTTACCATTGCATTTTACAGATCCCTTAGAAGCCATCCACTGCAAATCTCTAGGCCAGAGACTGAACTTGCCTGTCTTGTACCAAGCTCAAGCAAACCACCTCCTCCAAACCTTCAAGAGGACATCCAAACAGCCGTAAGGGATACTCACGCCAAAATGCCTGAGATGTAAAGGGTTTCAGCGGACAAGTATGACAGGTAGCTGAACATGAAGACCAGCAGGGGTTCGATAGCGGAAACGTTGTGGGTGAATCGAGTCATGAGTGCTGAAACAAATCCAAAGACGATGCCAAACAACACGCCACCCAGCCCCACCACAAAGAAGCGAGCGAAGCCAGCAAAGACATCGATGGATTCGATCTCTTCGTACCTGTGCATCTGGGTAAAGGCGATGAAGATGTTATATAAAACCTATGTAAGAAAATAAGGAGACAGCAGTCAGGCATCTTTTTGAACCTCGCAGACTTACTTATTTCATGGGGGGTGTGTGTGTGTGTATATGCCTAAAATTTCTTTAGACAGCTCATCAAAGTATCAGCTGATTCTTAATAAATCCCGGAATTAAGGGCCTGTTAAGTGTCCTGAAAAACAGCAAAAAAAAAAAAAAAAAAAAAAAAGAAGGATAGATGCTGATGTAAGAAGATTAAAACTCTGGAGGATCAAATGCAATCGAGGTAACTGAAAAATACTCATGTTTTTTGTTTTCTAAAGGTAAATTCAATTATTGGTATTTGTAGCAGATGTTGAAAGCCCAGCTGGGTACCCTACCAACCCAGGCTCTCCCCTCCACATTCTCTTGCTGACTCAGGATGGGGCAGGACAGTGACAAAGAATCACACTTTTTGATTTAAATCCTATTTAGGTTGTCTGTATGATCAGTAGGCTGGACACACTTCATTAGGTGGACTCTGGAATGTTAAATGTTTTTTAATAACACTTGATGCTCAAAAATCATTAAAAATCACTTGGAATGGGTAAGGAAGCTGGAGAGGGAAGGGAGGGGAAGGGAAGGGAAGGGAAGGGAAGGGAAGGGAAGGGAAGGGAAAAAGAAAATGGTAGCCTAAGTTTCATATTGTTTTTAGCTAGATAAATGCAACCTCTCTGTCCTCACATATTTTGGGTTTGATGTCATTTAACCTCCTTCCCAGGAACTTTGTGTCAATGTCAAAGTGGAAACAAAAAGCTGTGGTAGTCTAGATGGCATAAAGACCCTTCACACATATATTTTAACTAGAAAGCTTGAAATGACAAAAATAAAAGGAGACGATGTCAGATTAGCAGAAAGATTGAATTTGCTACATTATATAATTTGATCTGTAAAGATAATTTCATTTGGTTTAGAGCAAATAAGTTTATCACACTTATCAATGATTTATTTTCTGCAGAAATTTGTGATGAAAAATCTTCAATATATTCTACTTCCATCCATCTTTCAGAAACTAATGGAAAGTTTCTACAGTAATGAGTGGTGTAGTAATAAAAAGGTCTTAGGGATTGCTGACAGTTGGTTAACATTAAGTCCTGTCAGATCTGTTTGCAGGGATTGTGTAACACGTGAAACTCATCTTTCAGTTTTCAAGAGAATTTGGGGAACATCTAAAGACACCAGTTCTCCAAAGGTGTCGCACCAAAACATTAGTTCAAAAACGCAAAATAGACCAAAATCTTTTGCCTTGTCTGTTTTTCTCCGGTCTTTCTTCTTCATATAGTTAATTCCAGAAGGCTACTAAGAAGATTAAAGCAGGTAGAAGAGTCAAGCTTATTAGGATAATAATTATTCCCCAGCTACTATCTAATTTTAAATTGCTGCTGGGAAAATATGACCTTGAGCTGTCACATAGACTGTCCTCCAGGAGGCTCATTGCCAATATTTCCAGGGCACAAAAAAAGTACAACAAAATGTTTCATGTGAGAAAATACCCTGAGCTGCTTTTTCCTGATGAAAAATTAAAATTAATTAAATTGTAAAATTTTAAAAAAAAGCATAAGATTAAGCTCTTCAGTGGCCGATAAGGAAAAGAGGGTTCATGTTTCCACTGTAACTAAACCTTATTGTACTTACCATATAGCTTTTAATTACAAATTCTGTTTTCTCTCTGTTTGCCATTTCTTGCAGACTTCAACCTCTTCCTAAGACTTGTGATTCTTTATGAATGATACAAAGGCATGAATCTATACTGACTTATGAACATAGCAGATTTTCCTTCTAGTTCCTAAAGTGTCTATATGATATAACTGAATTTGCATCGAAATGGAAATTATGGAAATATGACATAATTTCTATTTTTTATAACATGCTTTGTGGGAGTAAACTGTTCCATACAACATCATGAACTGAATCATACAAGTAAGGCTCCATGTGAGTGCTGCTGGGCTAAGATAGATTGTAGTGTTTATCCCAGTAAATGGAGTACTATAATTCTTTATGTGGTAGGAAAGCTGTAATCAATTTAGGATGCCTTTGTTCACTCAAAAAGAAGGGATGGACTGATAGTTGACCTCATTTAACAATTCTGAGAATGTCGTGCTTTGGGTTTTCTGAAGGGGATGTTACCATGTAGTGGTGTACCACTGGATGACTGTTAGAGCTAGGGAAAGGAAGAGAGAAATGGTTTTGTTGCCCACAGCAGACCTCCCCAGGGACTGGTCCCTGCCCTGGTTACAAACATTTCACACACCATCCCCATCAGAAGTATTGGAAAAAAAATTTTCAGGTAACTACCTTAAAGACCAACAGAGGCAGCCTTCATAACTCTTTTTGCCACCCTGATAAATCTTTCTGACCACATGCGTTTAATTGTACTCTAAACAACTCAAACAACCTCAACAGCAGAAACAGCGAGTATCTACCTTCTCCTTCTGAGCACCTATACATCCCAGTGATCAAAGCCTTGTTCGGCAACATCAGAGAGGTAAATTCAAATCCCCTCAGATAAAGAAATTAATTTTACTTGAGTCTCCTCATGCAGTAGATTTCTTTAACTGCTCTGCTACTGCATACAAAGAAGAGAGGAAACCCATTAGAGAAAATAGCCAGTGCCACTTCATTTTGAGCACAGCATGATGTGTAGGTGTCCTCAGTGTTTCTAAAAGCAAGCCTCAGAGATGAAGCAGCCAGGGGAAATATGCTGTTTCCTGATGCACACAGGTGCTCAGCTCCTTTTGAGACAAAATGAGGCTTCTGATGCCTGAAACACTTTGCAGCAAAATCAGAGTCCTCCACTTGTATTCAGGTTTGAATGAAATCTGCACTGGATTTATCAATATCACTGCTTTGAACAGGTCCTTGAAACTCCACTAATGCGTGAGACATGCTAGGACCCGTCCTGTTGCTGTCTGCACTATTCTGATGCTAACAGTCTGCTCAGAAGCAACAGGAAAAAAAGGCAATTAACAAGACTTGAAGTCTTCTTGTTCATGGTCCTACTGAAGAGAATGGGAAAAAGTACAAATGGGTGAAAAGAGTAAATTATCCACTTTTATACTAATCAAAGCTATTACTCCTAAATCATCATTCTAATTCCACAGTCCAATATTTTGCAAATTTTTAATACCAGAATATTGAACTAAATATAGGAGAGGGAGCTATTGTTGCCTCAAATGTAATACACAAGTTCAGCAAAATTCGTACTAGTTTTTCCTGCTGGGGAAAAAAATGTTCAAGCTGATAAGCAGACTGGAGAGAACCAGGGAATATTTGTATTTAAACAATAGAAAAATATGTATGCTTAATATATCTTGGTGATATTATCTTTTTAAACACATAGAGTTAATTCAAGTGAAACTGTTAAGAGAGAAACAGGGAGGAAATGGTAAGATAAGACACCTGAGATAAACCATTTTAAAGCCTTTAAAAGAGCAAGTGGGGTATCAGAAAGGAGAAAGCCACCTACTGGGCTCCATCAGTCTTCTCAAACATGAAGCCAGGCAGAGATTTTGAAAACTTGAATGCCGAGAAAATGGCTGAGAGGTGGGTGATGCAGAGATACATCATCAGGAGCTGACAGGTTGATTGCAGCATAGCTGCTGTGAGAACAGCCCCAAAGATGAGGGTACATGGGGCAAAGGGAACTCAGTTGTGTAGCCAACGCTGCCCACGTACAGCCCTTTCATCTCTTTTGATAACACAGCTAGTGCTGCTGAGGAATGTCTAAATACAACTGTTTTTAAAGGCTTTCTGTCCCTACACATTTATGCTGTAGCAGGATCCTGACTGAAAGCTCAGGTAAATACCATCATGAGTTGTACCGCCCATCATAAGTGCTGTAGCAGGATCCTGACTGAAAGCTCAGTTAAATACCATCATGAGTTGGACCCCCCATCATAATAACAGCTGGGAGCAAAGGGAAGGCAAGGTAGAGAGCCAGTCAAAAAAAGGATGAAACAAGGTGTTCCAGAGTGATAAAGAGGTATTACTTTTTGAGGTCTGCACTTTAAGGAACTAAAAAGACAAGTGGAAGTGACAGATGCACTGGGGATTTTTTTGTTACAACTGTAACACATTAGCAGTGTGAATGTAAAGTGAAGTAACATTTGCCCCTTAGTTCTACATCAGCCCTACATCTCTGCTTCACCAAGAAGAACGATTGATGATCAATAGGCTGTGGCTGCAAGAAATTACTTCATTCCTTTTCCTTTTTTCATTACTCACAAACTGCACTCCTCCCATGAAGACTTTCAACAATGAACTCTGTACAGACTTTACAAGTTGTGCTGTATCTCCTGTACAACAGTATCTGAGTAGTTTTTATGTGTTTTAGATTCCTGTGATTCAAATTCTGTAAAGATCTTATCTAGTGAAACTCCTTAACTTGCAGTTAACTTGCAGCACATGAGCAGTCCTGTTGGTTTCTGAGCAATGAATTTCCTGCTTGAAATTTCTTCCTTGAAAAACATGCATATTCTCAGTGGTTTTGTCAATTGTGGTTTACCGCTAGAATTTCAGGTTGCTCCAAGTTTTAGTAGAACTAATCAGAAGAGGGGAAAAGTATTAGCAAAAGGAGCTCTGTAAAAACATTTTTTTGTTATTTAAAAAAAAAAAAACAAACCAAACCAACAACAACCCCCCCCCAAATCTCTCTTGTTCCAGAAGCATTGTTTCTGGATACTTGAGGTAAGGCAACTAAGAAGGTGACCATTTGTCAGATGTCAGTTTTTTTACTGATAGAAACAGTTATGTAAATTTATTAGTAGTTTTTGGAATTCCTGTCTAAGGTCTCTGCAGAACTTCCGAGAAGGGGCTGGAGGAAGGAGTGTGGCCTTCAGAGGTTGTCCACATCTGGTTTTTTTGGTTTTTTGGTGGTTTGGTTTTTTTTCAGAGGGCTTTCTAAGGCATGTGACAAGGCAGGGTCTCCTGTATTGCTACCCCTGCTGCCTCCAGTCTTTAAGCAGTACAATTTTTTATTTATTTGCTTGCAGAATATCAAGAATGTTCCTACCAGCAAAATCAGCTGTAGCTTATTCCTTCACTTCAGTGAATGCAAGAGCAAGATGTGACTTTTAATGTGTGTGCGTGCTTCCCTGTTCCAGTAATTCTAAACCAATATGTTTTTGAAAGAGTTAATATAAGATGAAACCTTTCCATATGTTTAAATTACTTGTGTGTAATGAGTGGAGTATCCATAAAATAAATAATGCATGCAGGATGTTCTTAGAGCTGCTCTTGTTCTGTGTCCAATAACCTTACAAGCCACAAGACACCAAAGAGGGGAAGACAAGGAGTGGAAAGAAACTTACCACAGTTATGCCATCATTTAGCAATGACTCTCCAAAGATCATCATGTAAAGCTGCTCATTAACGGAGGCTTCTTCAAAAACTACCAGAGCTGCCACAGGATCCACAGCTGAAATCATGCTGCCAAAGAGCAGGTTCTGAAGCAGGTTCAGGTCGGTCAGGCCGAAGGCTTCAATCTGGCAGACTCCGTAGAGGGAGAGCCCAATCCCAAATGAGTTTAGAAGAGATCCCAGCACAGACCACCACAGGATGGACCCAAAGTTTTCAAAAAATGGGCGAGTTGGCATGAAATAACCCTCCTCCAGGACAATGGGTGGAAGGAGATACAAGAAGTAAATACTTGTGTTCATCACTGGTGGAGATTTGTGATCAGAAGCAAAGATTATCGCTCCTACCAGTGCTCCAATGGCAATAAGGATGCAGCTTTCGGGCATGAGTCTTGGTAGTCGGTGATAGAGGTGGAAACCTTGAATAAACATTAGGATATTATTCAAGTTGAAATGAACCTGATGTCAGATAGATGTTTTGCCTGCCTGTGAATACTTCATCTTCACACAGCCAGGTTTTGCTCTTAGGATCACGAAAGTAAAAACAGGTAGCACTGTTGCCTTCGAAATTAAACATTTCCAGACTAGCATCACTAAAGCAGGGGAAGAATTTGGCCATGATCTCTTCTCTTTCCACTCACCGGCTCTTGATTTCTGAGCTAGTGTGCTTGAGTCTAAGCTCCACTTCTAGGAATACAGAAAAGTCTTTGAAAAGGTTCTCCATGATTTGGAAAGATAATACACTTCAGGAATCCTTGCTGCCCAACCACTAGTGCCAAACCTCTGGGGCACAGTGTTGTTCCTCCATCTCAAGCCCCGATCCCTGTCTACGAGTTTGAAGGCATGTCCCCCTGCCCTAGTGCTGAGGAAGGTCGCTGGCTGCAGATCTGCTGTATTTGGGCTGACCAGAAACCTGGAGAAGCCATGGGGAGCAGGAAGGAGCTGAGATGCCATGGTCTGCTCAGCTTCCTCCACTTCCAACACTCCCCTGAAGCATTGCATGGACTCCAGGTGATCCACAGACAGAAGGAGGGAGTACTTATGAACAAGAAAATATCCAAAACATTAGGAATCAAGCCACAGTAACATAAGGCTTTGTACAAGATGATAAACTTTGCTTTCCTGGGAAAACTGCTGTTCCTACATAAATTAAACAACTTTTTGTAAAGAACCTTATAAGTTAGTTTACAGAAAAAAACCCAGTGATTTCAGTGGAGCTAAATTAAACAACTTTTTGTAAAGAACCTTATGAGTTAGTTTACGGAAACAAAACCAGTGATTTCAGTGGAGCTGAAAGAACTACCAGCAGCCATCATATATCTGAGAAAATAATGTACCCTAAGGGATTTTTTTTCCTCTCTAGAGAAAAGGTTGAGTCTACTAGAGCAAATTAAGCAGGCCAAAGACTTTTCCTAGTGGAAAGGTTCAGCTTGCACCTATACAGCCAAATCCTTTTCCCTACCCCAGCAAGAAATGGTCACATCCAAACTGCCTGTGGCAACAGATCCTGGCCCACATCTGCACAGGCTTGTCAACATGGGCTAGAGTTGAGAAGGAGCACACCAATACTCATGTGGTATAAACAATCGCACACCATTTCCTGGCAGGGTGCTTGTTAGTTTACAAGCATAGATGTAACCAAGCTGTTTTACAGACCAAGGGTTACAATTACTGTATAAATGTTGTGGGTGTGAACTCGTCCTGCCCGCCGTCATGTACCACTACTGCAGCTGTGTTCATGTAATTCTTCCCATTTGACATAATACTGATACCATTACTAAGATAATGTCTAGCAATGGCTCATCTGGTTGCTATACCAGGAACTGGGTAATCATATTGTGAATGAGAGGTGTCTCCATTAGAAGTACAAGGAATTTTTCAAAATTTACAAGAATGAGAATGAGGCAGACTAAGAAATCTATAAAGCCCCATCCAGCCTGATCTTGAACATTTCCAGGGATGGGGCATTCACAGCTTCTCTGGGCAACCTGTTCCAGTGCCTCACCACCCTCATAGGAAATAATTTCTTTCTAATATCTAATCTAAATCTCCCCTCTTTCATCTTAAAACTTTCACCCCTCATCCTATCACTACACTCTGATAAACAGAGTCCCACTCCATCTTTCCTGTAGGTACCCTTTAAGTACTAGAAGGCCACTATAAGGTCTCCCCAGAGCCTTCTCTTCTCCAGGCTGAGCAACCCCAACTCTCTCAGCCTGTCTTCATAGGAGAAATTTCATAAAATTTTTATCAAATTTTAAATAATTTATTTAGAAGACTATTTGTTTTTACCAAAAAGTATGTTAAGATCAAAACTCTGTTCATGTCATTTTGTGAATTTAAAAAGTCATGTTCAGGTCTTCTGTCAGTTTTACAGAATAATGGGATTGTTCTGCCTTTTGAGATCTCAGAAATATTTCCCACCCTGGAATCTTGAAATCCAGAAAGAAGGTAATACCTGAATAAAACACCGAAAATTTGTAACAGTTCCGAAATCTTCTCTGGATAACTAGATTATTCAGACAACTTTTTTCTTCCAAGTAGATTTGAAGTCAGCGGCTCCACACTTTTCATCAAGAATAATACTATTTGAAAAATCCCAGCTAAGGAACAGGTCTGTTTGGGAGGCATCAAACAGTTCTTCTAAAGTATTTATTGAGTATATGTGTCATGTGGAAATTCCTGTGCTTTTATGGATGATGAATAAAGAAATTGATGATTACGGTCACAGCTAACACACTCTGCTAATGCCATAACAACAAATTTGATTTGTGAAATCTTTTATTGTTTTAGTAGTGAAGACATTCATTTATATAAATTGGATTCAGATCATCAGCTATTACAAAACTGGCAAACCATGGTCAGTGGTAAAAATTTTTGTCAGTTGTGTGACTATGACATGCAAAATGTTTATCTGCAGGCCACCACCAGAAAATCATCAGTCTCACCTACCAATCTGTTCTATAGCAATGTTTTAAAATCCCATGGAAAGATCGAAAGGACAGGGTGCAGCTCACGTGTGTGCAGCTCTTCACATTATTACCATCTTCTTCATTTATTTGATATTGCTGCATTAATTCTGAATGGTCAAAATAATTTGAACCTAGCCTGCTATGTTATTTGCAGTCTCTACTTCTCCTAATTGAGTCACCTTTTTTCATTCAAATACCTACATGGAGCTCTAATAGAAAGTTGATTGTATTGGCATGAATTCAAAAGGCACTTACCCTGCATCTCTGATGACCTACACCCTCTTAGACCCTCAGTCCCTCTCTTCTGGTATTACTTTCTGACCAACTTTAAACAGCAAACATGGAAAATAAAGACTCATAGGGAAATATTTCCTGTTATTTGCTCAACAGAAGAATTCTTCCCACTTTTCTCCCCCAAATTCAATATGCTTGAAGTTTCAATCTGGAATTACTGATTTCTACATCTGTGGCAGGTTGCAAATTCTTCTATCTTGTGATATTTAAAGACTAGAAAAAGGGATGGACAGCACTGTGTAGGGGAGCTCCATTGCCACTCACTAGCATAGACAACCCAAGAGGCAAGATGGTTAGAGGTTATACATTTACTTAAGTAAACTGGAAACATTCAGAGGTGGAATTTTATCATTGTCATGATAATGAACACACCTGTTCTTTTGATGACAGAAGCTTTAAAAACAATCCATACAAAAATGCATGGAAGATACTTGGTTACATAGTACATTTTTAACTTCTTGCAGTGGTAGGAGGCCCCAAGATCCCATTTCCTACTTACCTATTTTTGCAAGAGAGGCAAGGAGGATCCAAAGAGTAACTTCGTAGGGAATTTGCACATAGTCATAGTCCACTGTGAAAACATGTAGCCTTGTATCTTGTGAAGAGCCAACAGCATCCTCATGATCAAGTTCGTCGTGAGGCAATAAGTTGTTGCTCAGCTTGGGCTTATCCTCAGCTTGGGCAGAACAGGATACCAGACTCAACAGCAACGGCAACCAGTTCAAAAGCTTTACATGTGCCGGAGCAGCAGAGCCCATGTCTGGGGCTGTGACTATTTTATTACAGATATAGGGTATAACGGGTGCATGAAGGTATGCAACACTCACTCCTGTTAATTCACGTTGTTCATAGCCACGGACGCTTCTTCTCAGGGCTGCTTCATTTGCCTATTACAGGTCATTTTAAAAGTCCTAATGTGCCTGTTCTTTTCCTTGTGTTACAGGCGGACCTGGAGTTTGTATGAAGATACCGGTTCTGCAGGTTCCTCCGACCCAGATAAACCTTGGCCACAGCATCACCCTATTGAAGAATAAAAAGCCCTTTCCAACTATGTTATTTATCCAGCCACTCCGATTTTTTTTCCCACTGTCCAAAAAATAAAAAAAAAAAATAAAAAAAATAAAAAAACCTGTAATGCACAGCATTCAGACAGCAAGTGCAGCACGAGTAAATAGCATCAGGTGGAAGAGATGGTGGCACCCTGGGCAGGCAGGAGAGCCTGCTCCATACCTTTCTCTCCTGCTCTCACTCCCCGTCTGCCTCCCCAGCGCAACTGGCACCCCGGGTACCACACTTGGCACTGCTCACTGGTCCTGTCTCACCTGGTGACAAAGCCACTTGGTGTGCAAATAAACGGACTCTGCAGGGCCTACAGTAGGGACATCTGGTGGAGGACCATGCAAATAACGTTCTTGTTCAGACATGTACGTATGTAACCCATCACATTGTAACAATAGAAAGAGGAAGGTCTGAGTCACATCACGTGCCTAAAACTGGATCGTGAGTTGTCTTATATTTGATATTTGTTTTACTCATGCCAGCAAGGCATTTACTGGACAACCACATTATCCTCCTCCAAAGTAACATTCATCCTTTTGGAATATTTATTTTTTTTAAAAGACCAGCATCTTCTCTCCTTCAAAAAACCCTAGAATCCTAGCATATTTAGTTTTAGGATAAGAAAGTGTGCAAACATATTAGTGTTGAATAGAAGCTGCTAATGTCTGTATTACATACATTATAAGTGAGTAAATTTAATTTATTGACAAATTATTCCAATTGCCCACTAATTTGACTGTATTGGAAAACAGTGCGGACTAGTGAGAACAGAGATGTACCCCAAAACAACTAGTGCTGAGGATCTCACATCCACAATGAATGTACTTGGGAGGGGATTCCTTCAGGTCAACTGGTCCCACAGACTGAATGTCCCTTCATGGGTAGAGAATATCTTACACTTGACTTCCTGTGGAAGCATCACACTTTCAGGTCAACTGGTCCCACAGACTGAATGTTCCTTCATGGATAGAGAATAACTTACATTTGACTTCCTGTGGAAAGGGGTCCAGTGTGCACACCTGTGATGCTGTAGTGCAAAGCAAAAGGCAACAAGTGGTCACAACTGGGACATTTTCTTCAAAAGCTTATCATGATCTGAGCTAAATCCCCAATGTAGATGCAAGTGCAGTGTCAAAATTTTCTGTGGTACAGCCAGTGATGCCATTTGATGTTCTATTTCTACATGAGGCACTATCTCCTGCTTCTGCCACAGCGCCATCACCAGTCTTCCCACTAAAGGCTTTGAACCCAATACAAAATAAGGTAGATAACACTCATTGTGCTTGCAAGAGTTGTTCTTTTTTTCAGTATACTGGTTCCCTTAACAGTGGTATTTCTTGAAGTCCCTTTCCAACAAGGTATCTGGCAGATGAGCTATTCAATTGTCATTGTAAAACAAGGATTTGTTAACTTGAAGGACCAATGGATTCAACAGAACACCAGATCAGTGGCTCTCCTCCTCAGATTTCCTTAACACTAACCATTGCATTTCACTTGGCTACAGGCATACACGCACAGAGTGCAAGATGCCTTGAGAGTAGGTGATATGAATGCTGGAGAGTTAGCAGCCAGAGGACTTCATGAGGAAGACTTCAGAGTCCCCAAAACTCTAATAGCTGTGACAACCAGGACTTTGATTTACAAGTGCAAAGCACCCTATAACACCAACAGGTTCAGTGAGACCCACGAGTGACCAGACAGGACCAGGAATGTGTAGATTTCTCCAACTAGTAGGAATGCTTTCTCCCATTGCAGGAAGGATGGAGATGCTTGGGATCAGCCCTGACACAGTGTTCCTTCTTTTCCTAGTCCCTTTGGGATACCCAGTTGTAGCAGTCTCCCATGGTA